TGTTAGCAGCATGGTACTGTTAGCAGCATGGTACTGTTAGCAGCATGATGATAATAACGACTGCGGCAATGGACGATGACTGCCGTCATTTCCGTACTAATATATCTGGAAAGCTGCTGGAGTAAACTTTTTCAATACTGAGTACAGTTCAGGGTAATCTTTTGATGATGGTTATAACAGGCAAGACTATTGAAATATATTTAATGTATTTACATGGCAGCCTTGAATAAATGTGCACATACCAACAATCTGCATATGACTGGAATATCATAAGAGTACATTCTGTAAAAAAGGTTCAATGCATATCATATGTTTGAAGTGACAGAGTGAACTATAATCATGTTTTGTGAATCTTTGATATTCTGTAAGCAAAAAAAAAAAAGTTATAACAAAGTTAACATATAAATTCAATTAATTATATTTTTCCAAATCGATGGTATAAAGTGGCAGGAAAATGCAGCTGTCAATACAACTATCTGTGTCAATGATTAATGAGGTCGTCCTCTGGACAGTAGATCAAAATGAGATTCAGACTGTGCAGCCAAACAGCCAGAACTCAAACATTACCATACTGATGAAAGTCCACAGAGCATCAAGGGCTGCTGCTCACCAAACTGTGCACACACACTCCTCCAGCTCCTTCCCCTCCCTCCTGCTTCTTTCATGTTTCTTTCTAAAAGCCTCCCTTTATTGTTCCCTCACATTCCTTCCCTATCTCCATTTCTCTGGCTTTCACCGGGCCGAGGTGCTGAGCTGGTGGAGGAGTGTGGCAGACATTCCCCATGCCTGACTCATTGTTGTGGCCATGCCATGCCTGCTGCTATCTGCCCGTCTGGGTAATGTCAGGGGATAAGACCCAGACGTTCACGGTTTCCAGACCTCAGCAGGTTCAGCTCTCTCTTGGCTGATGGGATGATGAAAACCTGAAACTAAACGATGAAAACTGCCCCCCTGCAAACGCCTCACACTCACCTATGGAAATTTGATAATCCTGCAGCCTCTTTCAGTCATACTTGCTTTTGCATCTCACCCTATTCCAATTTAGATCAGTGAGCAAACAAGACGAAATCTTAATAATAATAAAATAATAATAAAAAAAAACTCTTCTGATCCCTCCACCCATCCCTTCTCTTCTTATTTTGGAAATAAATAATCATCCGGCCCTCAGCGCTTCCTCAGAACCTTGGGTATCAAAAACAGACCAGAATTTCTTTTTCTACTTTGCACACAAAAGATAAAAAAGACACAGTTAAAAAAAAAAAAAGAAAACAGAACAACAAAAGGTAAAAGCATGCAGCCTCACCCTTTGCGGAAGAATCTTGTCTGCCATTTTCCTTCTCTTAGCACTAGAGACAGGGAGAGAAAGACAGAGAAAGAGGAAAAGGAGAGCATGTTACTATGGTGACTGATAGCGTAGCACCCAGGCCATCTGCTAAAATGCTGGGCCATATCCAGCACCCCAGCATCCCAGTGGTGTGTGTGTGTGTGTGTGTGTGCTCTCTGAAATGCAGTGGTCCACCTGGAGAGCGAGAGTCTCCAACAGCCAGAACATTACATCACACATCTGCCTGACACACAAAAAAATCACTGGTGCTGCAGGTTAACAAGGTGTGTGTCCAAAATGAGCATGTGTGTGTTCGTTTGATTCATGAACCCTTTTTTTTTTTTGGGGGGGGGGTCTCAATATTTCATACTTACCATCAAAGGACAATGAAAATCTCTGCAAATTCATTGTCTGTGTCCGATTTGCGTTTTAAAAAGTCACAAAGATTAAAAACTACAGCAAAGCTCGTTCTGCAGGTTAGGTTTCCTGAAACGTCTCATCAGCATCTGCGAGACGTGAGCAGGTCGGTCCAAGTGTCAGCCAGAACCATTCACATTACATGGAGCTGAACTTCTGTCATGATTAAAACAGCGTCTTCCTATATAACTGGAAATGAGCTAAAATCAAGAAGCAAAGTGTGGAAAAACAAACTTCACCTTTACTGATTTGAGGAGGGTTAATTAGCAGTCAGGTGCTGCTGATCAAATGCATTGATTAATTGATTATCAGCTGTGAGTACTCCAAGATGGGAAAACAACAGCAATAATCTTAGAGGAATGAGTGACAGATGAAAAGTTGAGCTTGTGTTAAAGGGGAATTAGAAGAAATCATCTTCTCCAAAAAAAGTTCATGCCAAAATGACTTTATTTTACAAAACTGCATCGAAACAAACAAGATTTTAGAAACAAAAGCCGTTTGATCATTTTAACTTGGGCTAATTGACGAGATATGTGCTTCTGATCAGCTTTTACACACTGCTCCCGCACTGACTTATTAGGTGTAGTTAAATATCTAACATTTTACGGTGTAAGAAGCTGTTGTATCTAGATTTGAATGATGGCTTTGCCAAGAACCGTTCTCATAAAGTTTAAAGTCTGTGCAGTAAAGATACACAGCCAGGAGGTGGTACTTATATTATTATTGCTCCCAATAACAGTGCAACTCATCCCTCTTTAACTCCCACAATGTTCTTCATTTGCTCCTCCTCACTCCTGTTTCTGGTGAGGTGCTGCTGCTCATCTACCTTCTGGATTGTGAAATAAACCCTCCTGCTTGCCTCAGGTAAAGCTGTAACCAAAGACCGGCTCTGTGCAAACACAACCCTCCTGCTGCTGATAACAAATTAAAAGCTCACTATTTAATATTTTGTTTAACTGAAGTGTAAAAAAAGGGTTACAGCGATTCTAAAATGGCAGCGGTGAGGTATGATATCTATTTTTTTGTTGATTAAAATCTGTTTTAGTTCCTCTATCTGTCAGCTCATGCAGGATAAAGTCTTAACGGAAGTATAAATCATTAATTGTGTGGATGCTGATTTAGCACTCACACTATTTCATTTTTCTATGTTCTTATTTTTGAAAATCTAACTACTCCATTTATTTTAAAACATTCAGCCCACTTGCTCTTTTTTTGTCTTCTTGTGCCATTTGTTTTTAGATTTTAGCTATAGTTCAGCTACTTTTAGCTCCTGTTCCACCTCTTGAAGCTTTAGTGTTTTGCATATTTTGGCTTTTAGCTTGCGTTTTTGCTCCTTTCAACATTTTAACATTTTAGTCCTTCAGAACTCAAAATGCAATCCCAATTTTCACACAAAAGGCTTTATTTATTTATTTATTTTTATTTATTTGTGTGTATTTGTTTATATTTATTTATTTGTCTGTTTTTACTTATTTATTATTATTTCTTTAGTTGTTTTATTTCTCTTTCTTTGTTTATATTTATTTGTTAGTTTTTACTTATTTATTTATATTTATTTATTTACGTAGTTATTTTATTTATTTATTAGTATTTATTGGTTTATATTTATTTATTTGTTTTAACTTATTTATTTATATTTCTTTATTTAGTTATTTTCGTTCTTTCTTATTTATTTTTCTTT